AGGATAATAGAGGATTTCTACAATGTTCATTTCGTTTTCTCTGTTAACGTCTCAACTGAGCATTGCACATTCGTCATAATTAATCTAACACTGATACAGCATGGCTCAAGAAAGCGGTTCAGATCGCCTCCGTTTCTCCGTGATGCCCTCTGTGGTCGTCTCCAGAATCTCACCCAGCAGACAAGATGACAGTCTGTTGTCTTGTCCCCTCACTGCCATCGAGTCGATGGCGACTCCGAGGGACCCTAAGGACAGGGTAGAACTACCCCTGTGTGTGTGTGTGTTTTAAACAAATACACAATTTTATTTATTTACTTCTCAATAAGTTTAAGTCTTTGCAGGGCTCAGCCTCACACAGATTCTTGGCAGGCAGGCAGCTCCGGAGTTTGGCTGGAACCACACCCCTGTGTCCATGGGCAAGTGTTGCCTTTCCCCAGCTGACTCTGCGTTTGTTAGGCTTGCCGCCAGGAGTTGCCAAGTTCTTTGCTTTGTTCACATAGGCACGTTTCCTGTCCACATAAAATTCCGTTTCACCTTGGGTGTAAACCTTCCATTTTCTGAAGAGCGGTGCGCTCTCTGGTTCCAGTGAGCCTGTTGATAGCCAGCAACGATGGCCTTGGAGTGTGGCCTTCAGACATTGGCCGTTTAGAAGTCCTGTCCCCAACAGGCCTCAGGCTCCAGTATGGCAGAAAAAGGAAAGCAAGGGCCCAGCCCCCAGATTAACTCTTCACAGGACTAGAAAGCCTTGTCTGTCTCCCAAGGAGCAGCTGGTGGTTTCGAACTATTGACCTTGCAGTTAGCAGCCCATGTATAACTACAACGTCACCAGGGCTCCCCCTGTCTCCTTACACTCCTTCTGACAGTATCGTTTTATGATATTTTTGCTAATGGTTTTTATGGCAGTTTAAGTTCCTGTTCAACAGTTTCTACACAACTCGTCCAGTGATAATGGCTTACCAGCTTCACGATGCGTGAACATGATTTCCCTTTGGGAGAGTCCATTCATTGCTAGTCACCTGATGTTCCTGCCTCCTTACTTCCTCAGCTTTGTTTTAAAGTAATTGTTCACTGTGCTTTTT